CTATCTATCTATCTATCTATCTATCTATCTATCATCTATCTACCTACCTATTTATCTATCTATCCTCACATGTTGCAAATTGTTAAGGGACTTGACTTTAAACTGAAAGGTTATTATTTGAATCCAGCCAGCAGTGCTTCAGGAAAAAAGTCTGGGGATCTACTTACAAAAAACAGTGGCCACAACAACAAAACGCAGCCATTCAAAACCCTATGGAGAACAGTTCTAAGGCTGACACACTTAGCCCCTTAGTTACATACATCTTAGTCAAAACTAAAAGCTTAGATTCTGCTCCAACCAGGCATGATAGATCATTTTACAGTTGAAATGTGAATTAAATATTTAGTATTTTGGACAAGTATAAGCTAATTGGACTTTCTTTAAAGTCAGAAATAAGCTTTTAGTAGGAGAAAAATGACAAAAACATCCTGCATGTGTGTACATACTCTCATATTGAGAATTTCTTTAGATACATTTAAAAGATTACCCTAATAATTAAAGGAGTTTGTGTAGCGTAGTCGTTATGAATCAGGCTGCTAACGTCAGGGTCAGCAGTTCAAAACTACCAGCTGTTCCATGGGAGAATGATGAGGCTTTCTGCTCCTGTAAAGATTTACAGCCTCGGAAATCCTGTACAAGGTCGGTGTGAGTCAGAACTGACTCTACAGCACATAACAACAACAATAATTAAGGTAATATCGTTTGGCACTCTTTATTGGAATTTCCTTGGAATGACACACAGCCTACAGTATCTTTAGTTTCCCAATTCTTCCAACAGTGTTTCCACAGCTACAAGGATAAAACATCATATAAAAAATATATCTGGGTCTATATAAGTTTTTTATAGTTATGGCAAATCCTTTAGTTTGGTCAAATATTTTTAATAAATAAAACACCCCTGCTGGCTATAGCTTTGTGTATTATTTTGATTGATTTTTTTTTCTTGAAAACATTCTTGGCAATAATATACTATCATGATCACATTTAAAATGATTACTACTTTTTTTGTACTATTTTATAACCACATTTTCTTGATATTTGTGGTAATTTTTATAGTAGTATTATCCTGCAAACATTTAAAAAATATATAATATTTAAAGCCCCACAAGAAAGCTTCAAGGTGATGAATACTTACAACATTTTGATCATTTAACATCTGTGTTTGAAGTCTTTTAATCGTATAGCAGTAGCTCTCTTCTTCCCTTATATTCCTTAGAGCAGCACTATGCTAGAATCCTACTTAAGTTATGCTATTTAATAATGTTATTGATGAAGGTACAATAATTATGATGGAGTTAGGACACACAGAACAGAAAAAGTATTAATCACAACATCTGTACTAGCAGTTATTTGTTATTGCTGTTGTCATAGTCTTCTATATTCCAGGATTACTGAGACATTCTAGTATATCAAGACACTCTTATAAATAATACTGTATTTTAATCAGAAAAGTATTCATTAAATTTAAATATGACAGTCAAGTGGACATTTCATCATAGTACTTTAATAGACATATCATCATACCCATGCTTCCAGCAGAGAAAATAATATCCTGAGCTTAGAAAATCACAACCTGGACACAATATAGTTAAATATGCTCAGCTGTATACACATACTTTCTTTAACCTCCTCAATACTTTTCCTATCACTTTCATGTGTCACTGAATTGTTTTTCTGTTCTACAAGTACATACCAAGAACGTTATCTGACCTCCAAATTAGTCATCTGAACTGTCACAGGTGGGTGTTTGGGGTGACTTTTCAAATAGTACTGCATTTTGGTAGAACTTTTTGTACAGAGAAGTAAGAACAATATCGTGTTCTCAGTAAGATGCGAAGTCACCATCATTCTCTGAGACAGCAAGTGATCCGAGGTAATGCCTTTAAAACAAACTTATCTGACCAGTAACCTTTAAATGCTGGCACAAGACTAATCTATCTTCACAGCCTGTTTCTGCTCTATGAATTCTCTTTATAGAAAAACATAACCAAGAGGGGAGAAAAACGAGGAAAGGAAAATACCAAGGAGAAGTCACAAAAGGGAAGGAAAGATTTGATTTCAAATAGAAGTTTTCCCTCAATGTTTTGACAATTTTTCTTTAGTGCTATTTCCTTCAGGATTCTAGCCATATTCTGGGGAAAAACTAGTTATTTCTGTGTTATTACTTACTATGGAATCCAATCTGCAAATCTAATAGTTGAATTTAATTCAAAACATGGTCTGCCACACTGGGAAACATAAAAATCATATTGGTTAAGAAGGATTCATTGGTATTGAACTAATACACTGCATTTCTCAAAGGAAATTATTTATATTCTTAATGCCTCCATTTATTCATTTAATATAGCTAGTCTTCAGGGTCTCTTATGGCTACATTAGTTTATAATCTTGTGAACTTTCTGAGGCAAAATGGTGAACATGTTTCCCTTTACAAATCAGGCTTTTATTTTATTTATGCTTTTTATTATCGTAACTGAAGAATGATGCTTGGTTTCTATCTTTTATGTATATCTTTATTTTGGGTTATATAAAGTAAATGTTTTCAAAAGGAAATTGTATTGATTCCCTTCCTTTATATTTCCTTCTGTTGTTAGCCTTTCTCTCAATAGATGGCACTCTTTTCTCAGGGACAGTACTCATGTAATCCTTATCCAAAAAATCAAGGAAGTTAGTTTTACTCTTTAACAATCATTAATTTAAAAAATCAAACGTATAAATAGAAAGAATTGATTACAAGTAATTTGAACACCTTGGTAATGGAAGTATAATGGGGAGAATGCTTGTTGCAAGATTGCGTTTCACTGGAACTTGCTACAATTACTGAATAGGTGAAGTAAATATTGTATCTAAATATGAAAACACCATGTTCACTACAGATGAACAGGCCTGAGTAGGAAGAAAACTCCAAATTAGGAGCTATGTTCAAGTGCTAAAATATTTACCTTACAAGGAGAATACATAGTACTAACTCCTGAACTGTAATATTTTCATATTCACATTTAGGATTTGAGTATACCTATCCATACCAACACAATCTGCATCAATCTCAATTAATATTAAGAGCTGGCACATCCATTATCAAGCAAACATGGAACATCTAGATAAGTAGAAACTGGACCATAAACTCTTTTGAAATAATTTCACTGAGTAAAGACACTTTTATTTCATAGTATTCATTACAACTTCCTATATAATAGATTATACTACTGAACGATGCTGCTTTTTCTGATTCTTCTCATTGGTTCCTACTTAGGGGCATTGAACAATAAAGGGCACATCCTGCAGATCTCCTAGACCACTCTACTTATTCCAAATTCCAGTTGCCACTCCCCTGACACACATCTGCAACAATACCAACTGCAAATTGGTCTAGGCAGCTCACTGTCATGTTTGTTACAACAAAGCACCACATGGAGTGACACCAGGCAACAATTCCTCCATGAGTGAAATCTCAGAATGCAGAGAAGGTGAGGTAAAGCCTGCTGTGATAGAAGATGGAAGGGCCTGAGTGGTGGAATTGCAAAGTCAGCAGGAGAGGAAAAGTTGTCCAGGTTTGCCCTCTAAGAGAACTGAGACTGAAAGACCACTAATTAAGGAAACCCAACTGGAATTCTTTTCCCATTACTGATTCCCAGCCCCTGCATAAGCACTATCTGCCCAAGAACCCTCTTGGCTTCATGTAAGCAGAAGTTATAAGATAGAACATGTTCTTTTTTTTTTTGGTCAGAGCACTATGATTTTTTGCTACTATAACTTCTCTGTTACTGAAATTTTGGATTCTTTATCAATGAAGAAAAGCACGTTTCCTCCTCCAAACAACAACCACTCTGTTCACAGTGGCTCCTTGTTTACCTCATCTCTCTCAACCTCCTGCCAAACACTCTGCCTCAGGCATAGGTACCCTCCTTGCCCTCATCAGTCCCTCCAGCTCCACACCAGCCCAGCCGCCTTCTTACCTGACAATGACGTACATGACCAGGAAGTTTCCGAAGAGACCCACCACGCATACGATGGAGTACAGGGCCATGATGGTGACGGCCGTGATCATGGAAGGGCTGCCGGTCGAGGGGCACAGGCTGTCGCTGCCGCCCAGTTCCGTGCGGTTCGGACCGCACGGGTCGGACAGGTTGCCATCCAAGTGGGACAAGTTGACCCAGGACCTGGGGCCGGGTACCAGGGAGCAACTTGCAGAGCGCTTAAAGGGATCAGTGCAATTGCTAACATTGGTGAGGACGCTGCTGCTGTCCATGGTGCTGATGTCGGTCTGGGGACCAAGTTGTGAGAGAGCCTAGCGCACCCGGACTTTTCAGGTTCCACGCGCTTCGGCTGCTTGCTCGAGCAGCTGCCACAGCTCCGGCAATTTCTTTCAAAGAACAGCCTTGGTGAAGCCAGGTGGGAGCGTCAGCAGAAGGGGAGAGCTGAGCATCTGCCTGGAGCCCCCTCCCACCTTAGTAGTATGCTGAGACACAACCCCAGCCCGACACCGCCGGGGGAGGGGAGCGAGGGCTGAGAGGGATCCAGGCTGGAGGGGAGGGAGGAGAGAAAGGAATGGATTTTGCGCAAAGCGATCTGAGGAGTCTTCTTCTCTCTTGGCACTCCTGGAGCAAACACCTCTGAGGAAGGGTAGGACTAGGGGGAATAAGATGAGGGTAGAGCGAAGGGGTGGGGAGGGCAATAGACCGAGAGTTTTGGGCAGCGGTAAAGCAAAGGAAAGAGGGTGACATCATTTCATTTTCCAACGCCAATCTCTCTTTATAAGCAGTCTTGGTGGCGCAGTGTTTTAGCACTAGGCGGCTAACCAAAAGGTCCCTGGTTCAAACCCACCAGCCATTCTGTAAGAAAGCTGTGGCAGTCTGCTCCCATAGAGATCACAGCCTTGGAAACCTCTGGGGCAGTTCAACTTTATCTTGTAGGGTCCTTATGAGTCAGAATTCACTCCATGGCAAAAGGTCTTTTGGGTTATTTTCTCTATAATATGACAGGAAAGACATAAACCTCATGCAGCCCTTACACCCTTCACACCAGCAATGCTGTTCCCACACTATTACCTACTGTAGGACAAATGATTGCCTCAAATTCCCTTCTGCAGCTCTACTTGCCTGCACCCTGTACATCTACCAAAAGGCAATCACACTTTTCATATCACTAAATGAGTATTTCCACACTCTAAACCTGTCTAAAACAAGAGCGATCCTTTCTCTGAAAAAGATGAGAAACAATGAAACTTTTCTGAAGGAAACCTATTCTCATACCCCAATTTCTCCTTGAGTAGAAGCTCTCTTTGCATCTAATTTCTGTTCTGAGATGGAAACTAACTGATGACGGGATTCAGGGGATTGTGGTATCCAGTTTAGTCAACTAAAACTAATGTTAACCTCACACATCTTAAATCTCCTAGACAATTTTGTAATTATTTCTCCTTCTTATCTCCACACTTCCGACATGGATTAGTGTTTCTGAGACAAAGACTGTCAAAACTAAACAAAATTTATATTACTTCTTTCTAGTTTTTAAGGTAGAAATTCCAGGAGGACTAAATAGAAATCTGGATTTAGAATACATATTTTAAGATTTTTTTATGAAAATGGATACATTTAAATTTTTAAACCTCCTTCTAAGTCCAAATATATTTCTCTTTTAGCAACAAATGTTTAAATCAACAAAGAGTTGGGTTTTTTCTTTGTTTTTAGTAAAGTTTAAAGTAATTATTAAATAATGCCCATTTCTATGCATATGCACACATGTGTATGTCTACATCTTTTAATTACAAACATTAGAAATAAGTATCCTCAACAGTTGTAGAAATCTAACTGTATCTCCAAAAGCTTGGAAAGAAGAAAGTTAAGAAGGAACAAATTTCAATATTATTTTTAGGCATTTGTCTTGAAAACAGTTAACTCATAGATAAACTGTACTAATCATAGGTTATTTTGCCATGCTCAGTATATTTTTATCCTTTTACATTAAAGGGTATAATTTCAGTGCTAAAATGTTACAGGATTTCCTAAAGACTAATAAAAATACCTTAACACATATTCTTCCATGAACTAATATATCAAATTACGCTGATCTGAAATCTATATGCCATTCATTCAGTCTTGTGAAGACACACAGACCCAGTTTCATCTTACTTACAAAGGGACACAGTGATGTTAGTCTCGGTATTAGAGGAAGATCTTTTGTCACTTCTTAGCTGTAAGAGTTTAAACCGGTGTCTATATCTCACTGAGTAACAATTTTCTCTTCAGTGGAAAAAGGGAGGGGTTGATAATAATGCTAACCTTACATGGCTGTAGCAGGATTAAATGAAATATACAATACAAAAGTAATTATTTAAAAAGCGCTACTATTCTAATGAACTTCCCTGTGGACTGAGAACCACAAAGTCAGCAATTCAGACCCACCAGCTGCTCCTAGGGAACCTGTACAGGGTTGCTATGAGTCAGAACTGACTGGATGGCATTTAACAGCAACAACATTATTTTTATATTGAGAAGCTTTTGTGTAGTATCTTCTACAAGTTAAATGTTAACTTCCCTTAGCTATTTCTTACAAGACTTAGTTTTGAGTCCTATTGTCTCTTTTCTATTCATAATATAGTTTATATAGATAACATAGATACTGTTATCCAGATATCTGTTCATAGGTATGAGTTTGTTGTTGTTGTTGTTAGGTGCCATTGAGTCAGTACTGACTCATAGCAATCCTATGCACAATAGAACGAAACACTGCCCTGTCCTGGGCCAACCTCACAATTGTTGCCATGTTTGAGCTCATTGTTGTTGCCACTTTGCCAATCCATCTCATTGGGGGTCTTCCTCTCTTTCTCTGACCCTCCACCTTACCAAACATAATGTCCTTCTCCAGTGACTGGTCCCTCCTGACAATATGTCCAAAGTATGAGAGATGAAGTTTGGCCATCCTGGCCTCCAATTAGCAATCTAGCTGCACCTCTTCCAACACAGATCTGTTTGTTCTTTTGGCAGTCCATGGCACTTTCAGTATTCTCCTCCAACACCATAACTCAAAAGCATCAATTCTTCTAAGGTCATCCTTACTCACTGTCCAGCTTCCGCATGCATATGAGGTTATTGAAAATATCATAGCTTGAGTCAAGTGCACCTTAGTCCTCAAGCTGACATCTTTGCTCTTCAACATTTTACAAAGGTCTTGTGCAGCAGCTTTGTCTTAATGCAATATATATATGGAGTCCTGGTGTTGTGCTAGGAGTTAATGCACTGGACTGCAAGGTCAGTTTTAACTGCAAGGTCAGTAGTTCAATCTCACCAGCTGCTCCTCAGAAATCCTATACAGGCTTGCTATATAGCTATATATAGGAGCTCTGGTAGCGTAGTGGTTACGAATCAGGGCTGCAAACCTTTAAGGTCAGCGGTTCGAAACTACCAGCCGCTCCGCAGGAGAAAGATGAAGCTTTCTACTCCTGTAAAGATTTACACCCTCGGAAACCCTGTACGGGGTCGCTACGGGTCGGAACCGATATATATATGGAGCCCTGGTAGTGTAGTGGATTATAAACTGAACTGCTAACCACAAGGTCAGGAGTTCGAATCTACCAGTTGCTTTGTAGGAGAAAGATGCAATTTTCTGTTCCTGTAAAGATTTACAGCCTTGGAAACTCTAAACAGATCACTATGAGTTGGAACTGACTCCACAGCACACAACCATCACCATATATATCTATCTATAGATATAGATTTAGGTATCTGTCCTTAAAATATAGCCCCAGAGCTAAAAAACATTGCCCTACATTTGACCTGACCTATAAAATTTGAGGAAGATCATAAACTACATCTTTCTCCCCCAAACATAAAAATCCTTTCTCCCCGCCCCCTTTTTAATTTAAGTTATGTTGCTTTTTTTACTTTCCTAGTTTTATTGTTGATACCATTCCTTAAATATAATTCAAGCCAGTTAAAAATATTTATCAAAGATATGCTTTGGACCAAGTTCTGATCTTTGCCAACAAAATGTCTTGGTAGAAGTATAGTCAACTTGCTTCTTAGAAGTTTGGGTGGTAAGACTGTCTCACATGTATGCTGGAAATCGGGAGGTGGGGGTGGGGGGAAGCAGTGTCAGAACAAGGACATCATGTTTGGTAAAATAGTTGTTGTTGTTAGGTTCCATTGAGTCAGTACTGACTCATAGTGACCTTATGCACAACAGAAGGAAACACTGCCCGATCCTGGGCCAACCTGACAATTGTTGCTACATTTGAGCCGATTGATGGTAAAGTAGAGGACCAGTAAAAGAGGGGGGAAATCTCGATGAGATGAATAGACATTGTGGCTGCAACAACGGGGAGCTCAAACCTGGAAGTGATTGTGAGGATGGTCCTGGACTAGGCAGTGTTTAGTTGCTTAAAGGGTCATTGCCAAGTTGGAACTGACTTGACCTAACAACAACACTTTGGACCTTGTGTTAAAATAGTATATGGAGTGTTGTTTTTTTCTAAGTAATAAACATGTTTTTATTTTTCCCGTGATTTTAAAAATGTGAACATTTTATAACTCAGCCACAGCCTTTACTTCAGATGAATTCTTCATTGGATCTCAGTTCTCTTTTAAATTATAAGCTCTTGTTCCGGAAGGCAGTTAGCTTTTCATCATTCCTTCTGTCGAGGTAACATCCAATGGCAAATCCCACAGGGACAAATATATGAACTCAGTGGTCACGTACCATCTGAAGTAAATTCACCAGGATTACTGTGGCCTGGATGCCAACAACCAACAATGACGAAGGGCAGCTGCGAGCTCAGCCACTGGTACCTGCGCAAGCTGCGCCCTTGAACCAATATATGGAGTTTAAAAAGATAGATACAAGTGCTTGTAACCATAAGAGTTTACTTTTTATATGTTATGTTTCATATTTTGTCTATTCTTAATAATTTATCATTGCTTTAAAGGGGATCTGAGTGCAATACTATCTGTTTTTATTTTTAAATTACAACTTGTTCCATCGAGTTCATGATTCAAATCCACAAAGATTAATTGGAATGGGGATTCTGCTATTTTATTTGGAATGATGATTCTGTTTCTTATTTTAATTAATTAATGTATTCTTCCAGGTTTATATACTCTAAAGTAAGATACCTGGGCAGGTATTCTCATAACACCATACATATGGTATGTAGTAGATGCTCACATGTTGTTCTCACTCTTAAAATGTTCAATGTATATGTGTGTGATAATGAATCACGTTACCAAAAAGAAATCAACAAAACAGCAAGCACCACAACAAACACAGTTTGGTCTTTGTTATTGCAGGGGCTCTGGTAGCGTAGTGGTTACGAATCGGGCTGCGAACCTTAAGGTCAGCGGTTCGAAACTACCAGCCGCTCCGCGGGAGAAAGATGAGGCTTTCTACTCCCGTAAAGATTTACACCCTCGGAAACCCTGTACAGGGTCGCTATGGGTCGGAATCGACTCGACGGCACTTAACAACAACAACAACA